TCCCTCCTGTTCATGCTCACTCACTCTAATTTTTAAAAAAATGTTGCCAAGAGCCAAATGCCCAAATAGATAAAGTAAAGGTCTTTATCTTTAGTAAAAGGTCTTTCCAGTGCAATGTAACAGAAAATTTTTAAGAACAAGCATTTGTCCACAGACATTTCCCCTCTGTTGAGCTACAATGCTACTAAGTATCTCCCCAGCAAAAGCTGTATACATTCATGCACACCTGGACTTTACATATTTCTCTAAATGCAGCTGCTAGCAAAAATACTTTTTTTTTTTTTTTAAGATTTTATTCATTTATTTGACAGAGAGAGAGAAAGAGCACAAGGGAGGCAGAGGGAGCGGGAGAAACAGGCTCCCCGCTGGGCAGAAAGCCCACAACAGGGTTCGATCCCAGGACCCTGGGATCATGACCTGAGCTGAAGGCAGACGCTGAACCAACTGAGCCACCCAGGCGCCCCAGCAAAAATACTTTTAAACATATTCATACACATACAGCTAAGAACTAGACTAAATAAAGTTTGGCTCAAATTTTAACATTCAAGTGATGAGAGCTAACATTTCTCTAGCATGTTTACATATCTTAATTAACTGAAAATGGGAACATGGGCAGCCTGAACCATGAGGCCCTCATTAGACCAACAGGGCAGTTTCTCCTGGTCACTAGAGCAAGCTGGGGAATTGCAACCCCTTTCAAAGCATGTGATGAGCCTCAGCCATAAATGATATTTACATAACTCTCATTATATGAAAAAGTGATACTGATTTATCCAGAGATTATAAACATAATACCTAGGTGAGGAGAAGTGCTGAAGAATAAGGGAGCTGAAACTTCATCTTCTACCCAAAGAAGTCAACAGATGCTACTAAAAGCCAAGAACTGTCATTTATGTAAAAATTCAAGGGTTAATACCTAAAAATAATAGCTACAATGTGAAAAAGGTAGCCACTAGGACACAGGGAAACAGCAGGATCTATTGTTTTCCATTATAAGATGTATAAAATTATTTGATTTCTTAAAGTACATAAATGCATGACATGAATAAAAATTTTACATTAATTTGAATTAAATATATAAATACACACATACATACATAAAATGATGTTCAAATTGCTTCAGCTAAGGGAAAACAAAGGAAAAGTAATGGAGATCTTCATTGATTACATACAGTCCCCTCTTTGTACCTAAAAGACCTTCCTTTTTCAATGAGCTAGAGTTTTAGAAAGCAAGGTGTCTATGGATTGCTAAGCAAAAGGATAATAATGCACCAAGCACAGCCTGGACAGCCTTGGCAATATGAGGTGACAAAAGCTGCAGAAACATCACCTGCCCTCCTGGCTGACAGATCTGGTGACTCCACAAATAACAGACTCAGGGAACATCAGCAAAAACTCACCTTCCCCCAAAACCAGATGAGACAACCACTACCATCTGTGACACAGTACAGGGTCTGAGAAGTGGCCTAATCAGAATTCGGATTAAGCCATATAGTGGTAAGATAAGGAAAAGCTCCATGAACAGTGGATCTGAGCTGTATTTTAAGGGATACACAAGGGTTCAAAAGGTAGAAATGGAAGATAGGATCCATTTCAGGATGAGGAAATACTAGCCTGACAAAGGCCAGAGGTAAAAAATAAAATAAAATAAAATAGATAGTGTTTGGAAACAGGACCTGGTCTAAGCCACATCAAAATGCACATTACATGCTGTCATTGCCTCAAGTGGAGAATGTGTGTGGGGAGGGGACTCCTGGGACAGTTAGTTCAGTGATTTCTGGCAGAGTACAAAACTATAGACATGATCAACTTAAATAAAATAAAAAGGGGTATGTTTCCAAAATTAGCTAGTTGATGAGATATGCCCCCCCACCCCGGTGTCTCCTTAGAACAGACTGATATTTAGCTCATTACTCATGTCATGCCTGTCATGACCCCAAGTTTCCCTAAGGCCTTAGCTTTGTGCTAATGAATTCCATCAATACTTTTTCCTTATAACTCCCCAAGAGTATGGAACTCATAGACTTAGAGATTCGGGTTTGAAGTGCCTTCAGTTCTTCCTTCAACTTACAAATGGAATACCGTTATAAATGGACAAGTTCCTTCTAAAAAATATATATTTGTTTTACCCTTGGGTATTTTCACATAGTAGACATTCCTTTCAAAACTGCAATCATGGGGTACCTGAGTGACTTAGTTGGTTAAGCCTCCAACTCTTGATTTCCGCTTGGGTCATGACCTCAGGGTTTGAGATTGGGGGGCAGGGGTCTGGATTCATGCTCAGTGGGGAGCCTCTATGAGGTTCTCTCCCTCTGCCCCCCACCACCTGCCCCAACTCATGCGAGCACACATTCACACGCTCATATTCATGAGCGCTCTCTCTTTCAAATAAATCAATCTTGGGGCGCCTGGGTGGCTTAGTCGGTTAAGCACCCAACTTGTGATTTCAGCTCAGGTCATGATCTCAGGGTCAAGGGATCAAGCCCTGCATCAGGCTGTCGCTCAGCGCAGAATCTGCTTGAGATTCTCTCTCCGTCCCCCCACCCCAGACTCCACTCACACTCTAAATAAGTAAGTAGAGAATCTCTCTCCCTCTTCCTCCCACAAAAAATAAATGAAATAAACATCTTTTTTAAGATAAATTTTTTTTTAACAATTACCATCATAAATTGAACCAAACATGATCCACATAGCCCTAAGTACTGGTTTTGGTTAAAATATACATATCTGACTTAAGGTTTCTATGTATCTGAGCAAGTTACAGCAGTTACCAGACTACAAACTTATTCCTGGCAATCAAATTGAGTATTTATAAAATCAGTTCATTTTTACATACAAATCATAAGCCTTCAAAAATAAAACAAAAAAAAAAAAAGAAAGAAACTAAGCCTATTAACTTTTTATTCTGTCCCTTACCAATATTTACAAGTCTCATTTATGAAACACAAGTGTTACAAGGAAATCTTAGAAGAAAAAGAAAATTTAGAAACCAACACATCTTTACTTTTGTGTTCTTTTAATTCCATGAGTAAAAATGGTAGGTGCTGAAGATACGAAATTGTCAAGATATTGCTCTGCCTTCATCACCTCCCAATCTAGTTGGGAGAAACAAAGAGAAGAAAATTAAAGAGCACAGGTAAAGAATTCAGTTAACACCCCAGGGCCCTCTCAGCACCCAGCCTGCAGAAGGCAACCATTCAACAGCAGCTGACTGACGAGATGAACAGATGAATGTCAGAATAGGTCGGTGGAAGGATCGATCAATAGCATTTTTAGCTAACAGAAAAGAGGATGAGTGGGTTTCGGCAGGTATAAGAAATAGGATAAACTGAACTCAGACAAACTTCCTAAAGAGTTATGCCATCATTTTAGCACATTTTAAAAAATAAGCACATGAAATCTAGAATTTCAAAGATATTTTTCTATAGGATGAAACTAAACATTTAGTTTTTAAGATGACTCCATGAAATTTTTAAAGCAGTTCAAATCCAGGATGACCCAGGAAAAAGGAGAAAGAAGATATTCCAGAGAGAGGCAAAGGCATAAGCTCAAGCCAGGAGGCAAGAACTGCAGGGAGTTCAAACCAATGGGCAGGCTGCAGGCAAGCAGTGGTAGATGAGGACCTTCAAATCACAAAGCACTACATCTGTCAGATTCAACAGGATGAACTTCCCTCGTACAGCAACAGGGACCCACATAAAGGACATGGCTATGCTTGTATTTTAGAGGGTAGACACTGGGGAGTCGGCGAGGGTGGGGAATACAGGTTTAGTGGGAATCATAAATAAATAAGAAATATTTAGGTGTTTAAAAAAATCATCAGGCTTTGCTGATACACTGGGTATGAGCAGAGGAAATCACGAAGGAAAATTTGACAGTTTACAGCTTGGGTGACTAATAGACAGTAGTACCTAATAAAAGGGCTTAAGTCAAGGGATGGCTTTGAGGGGTTTTGTTTCGTGTGATAATGATAATAAGCATGACTGATAATGAGCAGGCTATCCTAAGAGAAAGGGAAAGAAAGTGGTAAAGTGAGTAAAGTTGATGATACAGGTCCAAACCAGATGAGTTTAGAGTAGAGTTTAGGAGACTCAGGCCCCCTTCCTCCTGACAGAGGTATTATAATTACATTAATCCAGAACACTGTGTAAGAACAATGAGTCCCAGCAACAGTTTGTTAAATGAGGAAGGAATCCAAAAGTGTGGCTCAAACAGGGTGTTCAGAAACCAAATTGAAGAGGAGGGGTAACCCAAAGAAAGATTAGAGTCACAGTTCAAGGTTGGGAATATGTCAACATTTACAGCTTGAGTAGATCAGGCACCATCAGTATACCCCTAGAACCAGGTCAGTGTGTTACAGAGACAGCTAGGTCTTTCAATCAAGACTGATCGAGGGGCGCCTGGGTGGCTCAGTGGGTTAAGCCGCTGCCTTCGGCTCAGGTCATGATCTCGGGGTCCTGGGATCGAGTCCCGCATCGGGCTCTCTGCTCGGCAGGGAGCCTGCTTCCCTCTCTCTCTCTCTCTCTCTCTCTGCCTGCCTCTCTGTCTACTTGTGATCTCTCTCTGTCAAAATAAATAAATAAAATCTTTAAAAAAAAAAAAAAAAAAAGACTGATCGAGACTCACAGGTGATCAGCCTACCTGCATAGCCTTCCCCCTTCTTCCCCTGCTACTGAAAGTGGCAATTTGTTCTGGTCTCATTTGTTCCAAATATTTCTCCATTTTCCAACAAGTTTCAAGGAGTTAGTTGAAGCCATGTGAAGTACAATTTGAAAATACTTCCCAATAAACACAGAAGCTATTCTTACAATAGCTTCACAGGAAGAGGTCACAGCTAGGCATGGGAAAGATCTAGCCTCCTGCTGGCTGGAGCTCTCATTTGCTCTGTTGCTCTCCCCTTTCTCGCTCTACCCAGTTTCACACCAGTCACTGTTTGGTCGGGCCTTGATAATCTGTAACCTTAAGCATAAATCATATCCGACTTATACAAGCACATAGTAGAGCTGGGCTCCGAAGAGCACTGGACATCTGGAGTATCTGACATCCAAGCCTTTGGCAAGATGTCAACATTTCATAGAGTACTTTAAGTGTTTTGGTCTGAGAGCTAATGCAGCATTTCCCACTGGTCAACACGCGCAGCCCAAGGAGAGAGCAAAGTCTATTTCCCTCAACATCAGATGTTACACTCAGCTGCTGATCCAGTCTTGCCAACAGAGAGGAAGAGAAGCTGGAAAAACCGGTAAGTAAAAAAAGGTCCACCCGATGCAGAGTATATTTAAAGAATATTTGTGATTCCAATGTGAAATGGCTGTCTGTACTCGTGTTGTACTAAATTCTTTTTTTTAATGGATTAAATGATAAGAGACAGATTTACAGATGAGACTTGATTTCCAAATTCAAAAACTAAATTAAGTCCAATTAACTGTTCTCCATCAATGTTCCTTTTAACTGCCTGGAGCAGGAATTTCTTCCACGGGCACATGCATTAAGCTTTAAGAAATCACTACTTTTTAAAAAATTCATAAACTTATTGCTTGTATACAACATAAGACAGTGCTCTGTGTGTGTGTGGAAAGTGGGTTAAAATCAGCTTGGGATACGGTAAGAAGCACCGAAAGAGCTGGGCTATGATGTAATCCCCAGAGCTGAGGGAGGCCAATAAAGAAAGGAAAAGCTGAAGACAGACAAAATAGGTTTGGTTTAAGAGCACAAATGGCCCAGCTCCGCAAAGCCTGAAACCAAAGGCAAAATACTTCATGCAAGGAAGCATTTAAAGTCTTCTCTGAAACCTAAATACCTGAACTACTTGTGTGGAACTAATGGTGAGTCACAACTGATTTTTAAAGGAAAGACACAGAAATTAAATAAGCCTCATGGTTGCTCTTTTAGGGTTTTTTTTAACGTCTTAGGCTTGGCTTTTCGTATCTTTGATTCTTCTGATTTCTTTCTCTGAGACTTCACCAACATTTAAATATCAAATATTCAGTGGTTTTTTTGTGGGGGGGAGGTTTGGGGTTTTTTGGTTTTTTTTTTTTTAATTTGTGGGTGGCAAGGACAAAGAACAACTTGTGGAACTTATTTTTATTTGTTTTTTTCTAAAAATTGTATAGTAAATTTCATAAAGTCCAGACTAACAGATAATTTTAAATTTCATTTGTGCTTAGGATCCACTCTAGTATGTTTCCTAGCAAAACAGTTATTTAAAAGCCCTACTGGGGAAACGGTAAGAACATTGTGACTGGTAGAGGGCAGAGAGATAGGATCATTTATCAACAACGAGGGCCTCCCAACTCTGCTGGGAAAAATGTTTTAAAAGTCACAAAATTTAATATTTTTTAAAAAGCTATGAGTCTTCTTAACCAGTGATTTTCTAAATGTAGAAAATGTAATCTTTTAAGTCTTTTCTTAATTCATTTTTATACCTACCAAATTTTTTTAGGATTTTATTTATTTGACACAGAAGAGAGTGAGCACAAACAGGGGGAGGGAGAAGCAGACTCCCTGCTGAGCAACGAGTCCAGTGTGGGATTTGATGCCAGGACCTGATCTGAGGACAGATGTTTAACTGACTGAGCCACCCAGGCACCCCACTTACCAACTTTCTTGCCAGTTTTCCCCACTTAAAGATAGCATTCGTGGGAGAAAATCTATATACATCTATAGTCCTCTTTCCATTCTAGAGGACTTTCTGTATCAGCCCCACCCATTATAGGGGAAGACTGCTTCACCTTTAGTGCTTCTTCAACACAAAACATTTCACAACTGGTAGGGATTATAGTTGGTTAAGCATTGCCTTTGGCTCAGGTCATGATCCCAGAGTCCCAGATCAAGCCCCACACTGGGCTACTTATTCAGTGGGGAGTCTGCTTCTCTCTCTGCCCTTTACACCACTTGTGCACTCTCTCTCACTTGTTTGCTCTTTCTCCTGCTCTCTCCCAAATAAATAGAATCTTAAAAAAAAAAAAAAAAAAAAAAAAAAAAAAAAAAACTTGGAATTTAAAAAAGAAAAAGAAAAAGGAAAGAAAAACAAAACCAACATGTAGGCTTACTTACTTCTTGCCATATGCCTTACTATACAGATTTTGTTAACCATTCATGTGTAATTTCACTAATAACTATTAAGTGTATTAGTATACTAATCATGTGAAATTTCCACATTTGTAGGTTAAAAAAAAACAGCCAAATATTAGCAATTTTATATGACTCACTCTAATAGGAAAGGAAGAGAAACAGTCTCAAAAGGTAGCGCCAAAAGTCAAGGGGTGAGGAAAAAACTATTAATGGTATTTTACATAATTGTAATATGACAGCAAGATCCAGGACTTCTAATTAACAATTCCAAGTAACAAATCTCCATAGATACAGCCCTCTGTTTTTAAAGCATTTGCACAGATATTACCAAAACTGGACGTTTCCTGCAGCCAAATTACAACAGGAAATGCCTTCTGTTTTTGGCTCTGTCTTACCAGTGAGGAAGCTACGGTCCAGGGAGGTTCGTTGACTTGAACACAGTAACACAGCTAATAAAGGTCAACAACGGGACTTCAAGAAAAAGCCATCTGGCTTCAAATCCGGTACCCTCTCACCTATCCCATCTCTCTCTGATCTAAAGAGATGAATGTGCCCAATAAAAACTGTAATTTATACATAAACACAAGTTTGGAGATGCAAAAGCGTACAGGACTGCTCTGCCTCTTAACTTGTTTGCACAACAGTAACAATAATTACATTGCATAAAACAGGCAATATTACGGGCACTCAGATTTTTACAGAGGCAATTTTATATGGTAGAAAAAGCAGACTTTTGCAGATAAAGAGCTGAATTCGAATCTACTGTGACCTTGAGCTACATTTGTTTCTTAGCTCTTTTGCCTCTATGATCTTCCTCCATCCCCTAACCCATAAAACATCATGATAAAGCTATCACCACAAAGAGCTGCTAAGATACTAATGGGGCACGTTAGTATCTGACACGTAGAAGCTATTCAGTAAAAACAGAATTTTCTTCCCCATCCTTGCTAATAACTTATTAGGTCCGAGATAGTATTAGCAAGATTAAAAACCTCACAGGAAACTTTTTGAGTTAGCATCTGCTACTCAGAGGGCCAAACAAGAAACTGCAAAATAAGGGAGCATGAATAGTTCTCCCAATTCACCTTCCATCATTTCAACAGAAAACTGGGGACTGTGCCAGCACACAGGTGGCAAGCATCTATCAACATACGCCCACTAAGTAGCAACCACCATAAGTGACCCACACTGTAAATAAGCAGGCCGACCAGGGAGCCTGACAGCCAGAGACCTGGCGATTGGGAACCCAGGGCCCTGAGTCCTACAGGTGGTAGTCCTACACAGAGAGAGGTGGGGAAAGACATGAAGGTTAATATATGCTTAATTCTCATGCCTTGTGGGTGGATGAATAACCAAATAGACAACCTTACCAAAAAACTCAAGAAAAAAGTGAAATGAAAGATATCCGATCTGTAGGAGTTACAAAGATAGACTGGGAAGTTTTACTTATTTTTAGAATTTAATTACTCTTTATAAATGTCTGGTGTCCTTTTTTGGTATTTATAGACAGTCCACATACTGTCTAGTATACGTATAAATTAAAGCCTGACATCAAAATAAGCAAATTAACCCCCAGAAAGCCTTATTAGAAAATATAGTAAAATATATTTTGCCACGAATTCTCAAACTTTTGGTCTCAAGATCCCTTTCCCAACACTCAGTAGTCTGAAGAGCTTTCATTTGTGTAAGTTAAATCTAGCCATATTTACTATATTAGATGTTAAAATTGTTAAATTTATATTTATAATTGTTTTGAAATAGTGCCAAATGTTAACATGAATAACATTTTGTGAAAAATAAATTATCAAAAAAGTTTTAATTAGAAAGGTGACATTCTACATTTTTACATTTCTCTAACATCTAGACTAAGATTCTCATATTCATTTCTGCATTTAATTAGTTTCAAACGGTAGTTTTAATTAAAGCATATTAAAGAAAATCTAGTCTCACACAGATATGTAATAGGAAAAGGAAGAAGTATGTAGTAGCCTTCTGGATTTTCTTCTTTGGCACCACATGAAAACTCAAAAAGTGGTGGTTTCTTATATGTTGTTTGCAATGTAGAATCTAAATCCTCATCAATGAATATTCCTCTTACGATAAAATCCTTTAGTCTAACCTAGTCTCTGAATAAGCCTTTGATGTGTGCTAGATTTTATAACATGATACAATCATCAGTCACTTGGAGATGTACATTCATGCAGAATTCATGCAGAATATACTCTTCATTATATAAAATCAAAAAATAGTATTAATATTGGCACTGATCTCTAAGTACTGGAAAGTGCTGCTATTTGTTTTCCTTAGTGAAGGCTCACTTCATCTGTTTTTTGAGAAAATGTCTGCCAAATACCTCAGTCTGAATTACTATAGTTTGTTATCATTCTTTCAAGTAAAAACAGTGTTCCAGGAAAAAGCATCTAATTCAGCTCATGGCTCAGTCACTCCAGTGTTGTTGCTCTAAACAACCATCATATCTAGCAAAAGCTGTAGGAACGATTCCTATTCTGTAATGCAAAATATTTACGACACATATTTAAAGGGTAAGATTGAACCAAGTACAATACACATTCCTTCATAGAGGACACTTAGCCTTTTCTTTTCCTGGTTAGTGGGAATGCAGAGCAGTAATGACTGCTCCAATGTAGTAGTGACTACATGGACAGATGTGTACATGGCCTTGACTGGTACTAAAGTCCCATCAGGTTTGTTTTACATACCACAGCGTTTGCACCTTTCATACAAATGTCAGTGTAACAAGTTAGAAAAAGCAAATAACATGTTACTATTCTTTGAAAGATGTGTTGATTTTCAATGCCCACCTGAGTGTCAAGGATCCCCATAGACATAATAAGCCATATTATAAGAACTATTAGTTTAGACTTTGAGATAGAAAAATTTTCTTTTGATACAAAAAACACCAGCTCAAAAAAAAAAGGTAATTTGACTACATTAAAATCAATAACTTTTGTTTATCAAAATAAATCTTTAAAAGTGAAAAAACAAGTTACAATCTGGGAAAGGCGATTCACCATATATAAACCCAAACAAAGCAGATATCAACAATATTTGAAGAATTTTTACAAATCAATGATAGCATAAACAACCCAACAGAAAAATGAGACAGATGAGTTGACATTTCATGGAAATAACTGATTATTATATGAT